ATTATTATTATTATTATTATTATTAGTATTATTGTTATTCGTTTTAATATTTGCTTTTACAATAAATTTGTCGCACCGGTAGCTTTCATGAACAAACCAATTCTCACGGCAAAATAATTGTAATCTTATTTAAATCAGATCGGATATATCCCCAGTGTCGATAAACGTGCTTAGTTTGAGGAGCTAGCCATTTATTATATTGTGTGTGGTTACAACTAATAGTTCGTAAAATGTCGGTTTTCACGTACTGAAACAAGAGACATCATTACTGTAATGACTCCAACATACCACCGTTAATATCAGATTACAACACCTTGTGAGGATTAAGAACAATTTTATTTTTGGGGTGGAAGACTGAACACATTTACATTATTTTATCTACTTCTACAATATGATACTAGTATATACACATTCTCTATAACCACTGGAGTTAGCATTTTGCACGAGTTACGTTGCAATGAGTTTAGTCTGAGCTGAGTTTAGTCTAGACTGAGGTTAGTGTTGCCATTGGTTTGAACTAAAATTTGTCTTACCTGAGTTTCGTATGAGATAAAGTTGGTTTTAGTTAAGTTCAGTCTCATTTAAGTTTGGTCTGAGGTGAGATTCGTCTGAGAATTAGTCTTAGTTGTGATTATTCTGAAATGAGGTTTATTTTAGTTGAATTGGTCCGAGTTGAGATTGGTCGTAGTTAAGTTTGTTCAAAAAATAGGTTGGTTTTAGTGAATTGGTCTGAGTTGAGATTCGTCTTAGTTGAGTTTGTTCTGAAATGAGGTTGATTTTTGTTGAACTGGTCTGAGTTGAGATTGGTTCTAGTTGTGTTTGGTCTGAGTTGAGATTCGCCTTAGTTGAGTTTGTTCTGAAATGAGGTTGATTTTTGTTGAACTGGTCTGAGTTGAGATTGGTCTTAGTTGAGTTTGTTCTGAAATGAGGGTGGTCTTAGTTGAGTTTGGTATTAGTTGAGATTCGCCTTAGTTGAGTTTGGTCTGAGTTGAAATTGGTCTTAGTTGCGTTTGGTCGGAGCTGAGATTGGTCTTAGTGCAGTTTGGTTTAGCTGGGGTTGGTGTTATTTGAGTTTATTCGGAGCTGAGATTGGTCGGAGTTGAATTTGGTCGGAGTTGAGATTCTTCTTAGTTGCGTTTGGTACGAGCTGAGTTTCGTCTTAGTGCAGTTTGGTTGAGCTGAGATTGGTCTTAATTGAGTTTATTCGGAGCTGAAATTGGTCTCAGTTGAATTTCATCTGAGCTGATTTTGGTCTTAATTGAGATTAGTCCGAGATCAGATTTGACTTAGTTGCATTTGGTACGAGCTGAGTTTCGTCTTAGTGCAGTTTGGTTGAGCTGAGATTGGTTTTAATTGAGTTTATTCGGAGCTGAAATTGGTCTCAGTTGAATTTCATCTGAGCTGATTTTGGTCTTAATTGAGATTAGTCCGAGATCAGATTTGACTTAGTTGCATTTGGTACGAGCTGAGTTTCGTCTTAGTGCAGTTTGGTTGAGCTGAGATTGGTTTTAATTGAGTTTATTCGGAGCTGAAATTGGTCTCAGTTGAATTTCATCTGAGCTGATTTTGGTCTTAATTGAGATTAGTCCGAGATCAGATTTGACTTAGTTGCATTTGGTACGAGCTGAGTTTCGTCTTAGTGCAGTTTGGTTGAGCTGAGATTGGTCTTAATTGAGTTTATTCGGAGCTGAGATTGGTCTCAGTTGAATTTCATCTGAGCTGATTTTGGTCTTAACTGAGTTTAGTCCGAGCTCATGTTTGACTTAGTTGAGTTTGGTTTCATCTGAAATTGGTTTTAGTTGAATTTAGTTTGAGATGCGGTTGGTCTTGGCTGAGTTTAGTTTGGAGATGAGGTTGGCTGAGTTTGGTCTGAGCTAAGATTGATCTTAGGTGAGTTTGGTCTGATCTGATATTGGTCTTAATTGAGATTGGCCTTAGTTGAATTTGCAGTTTTTCCTAATTGAGTTTGGTCGGATATGAAGTTGGTTGAGTTTGGTCGGATATGAAGTTGGTTGAGTTTGGTCGGATATGAAGTTGGTTGAGTTTTGTCTGAGTTAAAGTAAGGTTGGATTGAATTTGGTCTGAGTTTAGATGTGCCTTTGTTGTATTTGTTCTGACCCAAGATTAGTTTTAGCTGTGTTTGGTCTGAGTTTAGGTTGACCTTAGCTGTGTTTGGTCTGAGGTTAGGTTGACCTTATCTGTGTTTATCTGAGTTTAGGTTGATCTTAGCTGTGTTTGGTCTGAGTTTAGGTTGAACTTAGTTGAGTTTGTTTTGAGTTGTGATTGGTCTGAACAGATTATGATCTTAGTTGCGTTTGGTCTGATGTGAATTATGTTTTTGAAGTGAGTCTAATTTAGTGTTGGCTGAGTTCTGTCTAATATGAGTTTGTTCTGAGACGAGTTCAATTTAAGCTGATATTTATTTTGTATTCTCCTAAAACATGACTGTCAGCTAGCACGAAAGTAATTTTCTCATTAGAGATGTCAATGTGAAAAATGATAAGCGCTTGGAATTGTCGAGGCGAATGGTTTTGATGAATTGTTGCCATATCATAATTCGTAACGGCACTGATTAGAAGGCAAGCTGCGTTCGCGATGAAAATATACTAGCATGAGACCACTCATATGATATGTGCGTCTTTTCAAAATATTGTCCATGTTCTATCATTGAGGTTAAATGTCGATGTTGGATTACATATTATGTAGGCCATAATTTCAGACTGAGTAACATACCTTTCATTAACATTCCATTTGGAAGCAGGAGGTGGGTAGGCTGAAGGATTTTGTGAAGACGATTTGTTGTGTGTGAAGAGAGAAAAAAAAAGCATTGTACGGCAACTGCATGGTATAGATGAATTGGTAAAAGTGCGAATACAAAATGTTACCAGCTACATATGTGAATAGAATTTGTCACAGCCCCCCAATAAAAAAATGGTAATTCCTAATCATTTTATATGGTTTGAGTGGTGAGTGTGATGATTCTCTATGTCATTTACCATTGCATGTGTGTTTATGTAGGGGGCAGGTTGTAATGGAACGAGCGGGAAAAACAACAGCGTTGAACAAGGCAAAGCAGGATTGTAATATCCGCTAAAATAAATCTACTTTAAATCAACTTGTACAATTATCGTATAGGTTATTAAAAATTCAACGAACATAAAAGCGTGATGTTATTACTTGTAAATGTGCGTCCGCGATTATCGTTGGTGAAAAGAAAAAACACAAGCGTTTCAGTTTCAAAGTTGAACAGTCAGTCTACTGTCACAGTGGTTCAATACTCGGACGTTCTGTTGTAAGGTGAGTGGAATATAGTCGGGATTAGAAAGATCTGATCTTTCGTTTTCTTCACTTTCACCACTATGTGCGGTATGCGTGTTTCGTTAGTGAGGTATTTATTTGATATCGCAGGAAATTCAATTATCAATTATCGAAACTTACAAAGTATCGGCGATTTGCTGATAAAATCATTGCGAATAATAGGCATACAAATGTTGATTTGCTAATTTTTGGGACAAGCAGGAATTGTTGATAACTGTGAACACTTTTATTACAGTTTCACGGCAATTAAATACTTGGTGAATTGTGTTAAATGAAAAAGAGAGAAACATCATTAACTATCTAAGATACATCACCATCATATGAACATAATCTTTTTCAATGTAATTTTTCACCTTGTTTTGTCTGTTCAAACTTTATTGTGTTTTTATCCAAATCGTAAATCAGCATATTATGAATTAATGGTACGTATCATTAACTCAACGTGCATTTGCTTAGATTTACTGCTTCAAAAAACAGATTTCCGGGTGACGATAATTCATCATCATCACATGATTGTATATTTTATTTTTAAATCTTCTCTTTAATTAATAAATAATAAAACGTGTTAACATACAATGTATATATGTGGCAACGCTTCACTCTTAATTCACGTCATGAACACTCTGGAACGGAAACCTAAATATAGCTTTAAGTATGACGTCATCAAATAACTAGACTTAGATTAGGTATCAAAAATCAATAAGTTATCTAATTGGCGAGGGATGACTTTTTTTTTAATTATGAATTCCCGTGTTTTCGTTAAAAAGTGGGTCTCATTATATCATCACTCGTATTAATGGAAATATTTCATTACAAAAAAAAGGACGCGTACGTCGGTCCTACGTGGCTGATATAGTTGTCGAATACTAAGCTGCACAACATCAAATGCCACGCATGTCCGAGAATTATCGATGTAGACGGGCATGGCATCACTCAATGTATGACGTATTGTTGCCTTTGGGGCCGAGTTTAATTTAGCGTTATCACATATCATGGTTGGATAGCATTCATATATGTATCATATCAGTTTATCACGTAACAATAATGCAATTGGATAGAGCACCTCGAATAACACTTCAGGTCAAGGTAGTTTGCATAAACGTTTTACGAGCACACAAAGCTAGATGCATAACAAGCTGTGTTCTCGATCATATCAAGCAGCGTACCTAGAGCGTATATTTCTTTAAACCCATCTGCACAAAGTAAGTCATTTCACGCGTACCCCTATCAAGCATAGTCTGTTCTCTCGTCTGATTTACACCGGATTCACTAAGGTAACGCGTTTTTGTCGTACATCACAATTAGTTTACATTGTTCTCAGTGCGGTGTTTGTCACAGTTCGTTGCGTTTCATTTCTACTGAAAAGGATGGCACAACATCGCTACCATGATCACTGCCGGACATAGTAGGGCTAAATAAGAGTTTATGTACTACGTATCCCAATGTATATCACGTCTGTTACCGCGGAATCCGTTCCCATCGTTATTTCAATTTCGTTAACCTAATCAGTCACAGCGTGTAACGTTAAGTATTGACTTTATTGGTATTTTACTGTTTCTATTTCACTCATTGTTCTCTATCTTTCTGACTTTTTCGTGCCTTTTTTAAATTCTGCTGCCTTGACCCCAGTTGACATCACGTGATCAAACCGGTGTGCATAAGATGGTTCCGAGTCAGTGATTTTGGCAGCGTACGTTAAAAGTGGCCAACTGGTATCGGAGGCAGTGCAGATACAGTCAACATCATGACGAACAATCACTATAAACGTGTTTTACTCGTGGGAGTGTGCGCACTTTCTCTTCTATCGCTATCAAGTGGTGCGCTAACAGATTGGCAAGACGAATTAGACCAGTTCGTTTTGGATGTGATGCAATGTCGTAACGTACCGGGGCTGAGTTTATCGGTGGTGCAGGACGACCAGATATTGCTCACCAAAGGATACGGCGACCAAGAGAGAAATCCCACCGTCGAGGCGCATGCAGACACGGTGTTCCCAATCGGATCTTTGACAAAATCTTTTACATCGGCGTTGATTGCCGATATACTGAGCGAACAAAGCAACGTAACATGGGACACACCGATCAGATCGATACTCGGGGAGTCCTTTTCCTTGTACGGCTGCGATAGGACAGAAGAGGTTAGTTTAAGAGATCTACTAAGTCACCAAACTGGTCTTCTCGACGACGAGACGCTAACAATCATGGGTCTCGACATAGAAAAGAGCGACTTCATAAAGTAAGTTTTGTAGACTTATTTTCACTATCAGAATACATTCACATATAAGCTCATTCACCCGAAGAAAGAAAGAAATAAGGTTTGGTCAGCGTCCTCGGCTTTAGTTGCGGTCTTTATGGTCATTGTGTTGTAGTAAATACACCCATTTATCAAAACAAGTTGGTGACATGGGAATTAAAACTGTCGTACATAACAAAATTAAGTATTAACAATTACAGTAACAAAAGAAGAAGAAATAATATCATTTTGTTTGATTCAAAAATAACCACCACCACCTGCGCTAATATTTGCCGTGACCACACGTCGAATTTGCATCACAATCAACCTATTTTACATTTTACCGGTAAGGGCTAGACCATTTCAGTTCCGGAAGGGGGTAGTTTGGAGACGAAGATTAACACACTTATATTTATATGAAACTTCAATATATAAAAACTTTGATGAAAGATAATGCCATGGTTTCGTGTACTTTTAATGTCAAATATAAATGTTTCAATGTTAGAACATAATTATCTTTTTCGTTATAGTACCAAATCCGATTTGAATCATAGATAATAACATGGATATCACTGCATCAAAACTGTATTACGGATGATCTCATTTCCAGGTGACCTCCTCCCATTCTCGGACACAATAGAAAAAACAGCAGCTATGCATTTACCATGGTGATTAGCAAGCTCTACACCAATTTTCGGAGCTGGCAAATCAATTAGTGTATCAAACCCTGATAGAATCATTTTAAATCAAAATACATGTGAGTTCCGTGACGAGCGGTATGGTTTTATCCCGTGCTATAGCTCGACCCCGCGCTTAGTACAACGTCGGCAAGTTCAAGTTGGTCTTCCTTTTAACGCCGTGATGTGACATTCGCGATTTAAACTTGGCCTCAGAAGACGGACTGAAAAGAGGAGGGCGTACACAATCTTAACATACTCAGCTTGAAAGTTTGAAAGTTTGGTACGATTGTCCGAAACCATTTGATTTATAGCCATAGCAGTGAGCGACACAGAAAATTTAAATATGTATGCCATTAACAGCATATGTGCCACACAAGGCTCATTTGTCAGTCTTTATTGTGACCTGGATATGCACGAACACTGTCTGTCAGGACGCCTATCATAAAAAAAACACACCTATAGCATTTTTTGAAAAAATACAATTTGTTGGTATTTAGAAAAGTCGTTCGTTTCATACGAGCTTTCTTGGAATGACGTTTACATTGCATTGTTGGTGACTTATGTTTACATATATCTGTAAACAGGGTACTGATGACTGTAAACGAATTAATAATTAATCGGTTTTAAAAGTCTGCTATTTTCGCTGATTATTGTAATTCGCTACCAATGTTTAACAGGTAAAACATGCAATAGAACTCAATGTTCCCATGGCAAATGCGTGAATTTATAATCAGACGAATCATGGATGCTTAAAATATCAAAATAGTGGATATTAACTTCCAGCAGAAATTAATTATTCTACATTATGTATCATAATGTTGGAAGGTGCGTATGATTCTACTCGGCCTTCGGACGAAATAACAGTTGAATGCTGGACAGGTCACGTGTTAACACGTATCATTTAGTGACGTCATGTATCGCTGACGTATCATTTACCGTGTTGACATCTTACACTCGTATTGACTGTCTGACTGTACAGGGAGTCCACGCTCGCTCTTCTTCTTTTCATTGACAAAATACGTGCGATGATTTCCCGCATTAGAACAGGGTCACTGTTTTTGAGTTCAGACATATGAGTCGTGTATTGTTTTGGTGAATAGGCACTGCTCAGCGACACGCGGAGAAAGGAAACTAGGCAAACAAGTCATGACATCACACAATTTATTCGTAACAGGGGCGGATTTAGAGGGGGCCGAGGTGGCCGCGGTCCCCCTATTTTCAACCCCCGCAATGGCTTTGCGCCATCGGCGCTCGCGAACTAGGCCTTCGGCCAACTTATCGCCCCCCCCCCCCATTCCAGAATCCTAGCTCCGTCCATGCGTAAGTTCATATAGTACAAGGCATGACAGAAACATATCTCTGGAAAAGAATTCGTTAAAAATAGCCACCAGTCGGCCATTTTTAATTTCATCTAAAAATCAAAATGACTTGTATCAAGATGCTATATTGTTAATAAGTTTTAACAATACGCGCTTAATGTACACAGTCGAGATCCAAGTCCGTAATCATGTGGTGGAAATGCTTGGTTTTGATGTTTTATTTTGTTTTTTTTTAAATTTAAAATTGATACTATTTGGTCATCTTGAACTGCACCGTAAAACAATTGTTTATGTGTGTGACCTGACGTACTGTAAAGTACTTTAATATGCAAGCTTAGGTGTCCTTTATCGTGGGTGTTTTAGGAACATTGTGTTACACATTTACGGAGTGATTGTGAGCTAGGGCGAATCTTCATGAAGCTTCCGAACAGGAGTCGAACATGTTAGAAACAACGAAAGTAAAGCGTTCGCCAACGGAACATGCATACTCCCGTGTGATACACTGAAATTCGCTGGAATTTGAACAATTAGCATACCATTCATGCATGTTCATACATCATGCATATCATATAATACTCCAATAAAACCTAAACGTATCATTTTAGAAAAGCACTTCAATTAATTTGTGAAAATAGGTACGTCATCTCTTCTACGCATGCGTGACTTCAAATTGAGAGCTGCCATACTTCATCCGCTGCGAAGACCGCGGATTGAGCTGCAGAAATATTGTGTAATGGCGAGTTCGTATTCAATTATATGAAGTACATGCAAGGTGGCGACAGGGTCAAAACGCCAAGGGGACAGAGCTCGCCTCAGTGCCCAACCTGATTGATTTGACAGTTTCCATTTCGTTTTAAAACTTCTTGCACGTTATGCAAATAACGATCCTGATTACTAGTAGTCTTCGCTACTCGAAGATTATAACACGTTGTATGCAGCAAACAAGCGGAAATGGATAATCCATTTGCATTGTTGGTATTGAATAACATGTTTAATTTAAGTCGGGTCATATGTTTAAGATAATAATGGAGCTCACAACGAGTTTGAGATTTCAACGATTGTATTCAACCAAAGACACTAGAAAAAGATTCTTTTTCTCGTGTCTTTGATTCAACCTATACAATTGATCGGAGGTTCAATTACAGGTTTATTTCCTGCCAAAATATGTTCTTTTGATGTAAATGCACAGTTTTATAACTTGACGGCGTTCCCTGAGTAGTGTTTTTTAGACGGCGTCGTTTTTGTCGTAGTTACTGCTCCAAGTATGCCTGCCCACTGTATATTTTCGGATTTTAATTTAAATCGGATTGCATAAGTTTAGACTAAAATTATTATGTACAAGATAACTGTCTCAAAGGTCATATCTATTTATTAACTGTCAACTGAAATTTATCGGAAACGATAGAATGACATGTGTTTATATTATTTGAGTAATCCTGTGGGGAAAGATATTATAATAAAATTTGTACCCACTACTCGTTTTATTTTTTTTAATGTTATACTATTTTATCGGAAGTACGTATGAGGTAACTGTCTAAAACAAATAATAATCGCCGAGTAGTTTACGACTATCATCTGAATTAGCCATCTCGCGTACGTAAGTCACGCTCTGATTGAGCGGGATTCATTTTACGCGGTAATAAAGTCTTTTATAACTTGATTAAATTTGCAGTTTGAGTGTACTATTAATTCACTGCGATAAATCATCGATGTCGTAATGATGTCGATTACATTGTGAGTTTCATTTGAAGTAGATTATTCAGTCTTGTGATGCATGGGTATGTTAGTGGTTTCCACTACAAGCATACAAGTTTTCGGTGTGAACGGAGCCCTGCACTAAAGTAAATTTGATGTAAGCACATTAGACGCCGGCGATAGACCTAATATGCTTTCACGATCTGGATGTGCTTAAAATTGCTTAGAAATCCTGCTTCAGTGCCGAATTTATTTAACTCATTAAAACAGATCAAGACATATCACATATGGCCCCGGGGTGTTACCGCTGGAATGCTTATGTGAATACGCATCATATGTGTTTTTGTTGTTGAGCCAAATTGTCCGGAAAAAGGGTCTACTTTTCCAGCATTCATTATGCATTGCCGAGGAAAATTCGCTAAAAAAGATTTTTAAACATCACTAATTCTGGTGGCAAAAGGGTCGTACCATATCAAATGTTAAAAAAAATAACGACAATTTCAAATTTTCTGAAGAGAGTGTATCCATTTTCGCATTTGGTTTGTCTGAATAGGAAAATTGATCTGATCTGATCTGGATACGTGTGGCACACGCTTATCATGTTACCCGGTCATTACTCCCGTGGTATAACCGCCCCCTAGTTCAGTACAAATATTCCAGTAAAGAAAACATAGATTATATAAGAAGCCTTACAACATGTTATTTGAATTAGTATTGAAATTATCTCATTTTTTATCACATTTAGACGCATTCGTTTTCTGAAGGAGAAGTATGGATTTCGGAGTCGGTTCCTTTATAGTAATCTCATGTACACATTGGCTGGGCTAGTTGCAGAATCTCTCACGAAATACAGCGAGCAATCATGGCAAGAATTGGTAGACAAACGCTTATTACGACCCCTTGGAATGACGTCTACCAAAATGATCAGTACTATCGAGAATCTGCGCACAGTTCCCGAACTGGCTGCGGGTTATCGGGCGACCTCTACCGGCGAAGTATTTCCTATCAGCTTGGACACATTGACGTAAGTACATATTATCAGCTCGGTTATTCGTCCTAGTATTGGGTCACGTTTTTAGTTCTTATTAGAAAAAATGTCAAATATTTCAAAGATAATTTTTGGGGGTAATAAAATACAATTGTGAATTAGTTACATATTAAATTAATAACACCCGGGTTGTTCCTACAAGTCTCGCCATTTAGCAACTAAATATTTATGTGACGTAATTGTGTGTGAGTGACGTCATGAACGTCATTCATATTATTTTGATCCATTGTCCTCCGCCAGTGAATACGTTTACATAGCTTTGTTATATTTCACAGAACCAACGATTTTATAAGTAACTAAGTTGTCCATTTGAACGAAATTGCTTACACCTATCGAATACGTCATCATGACGTCACAAAAAACATTTACCGCTTGAGGGCGCGACTTGTTGGAAAGGTTTACTGCAAGTTTCTTTTACCAACAGGATCACTGACATAGTAGCCCCCGCCGGGTCCATCCTGTCAACGGCGAACGACATGGCTCAGTGGTTGTTATTTCAACTAAGCGGCCGTTCCCGTAGCAACCAACAATTGGTAGATGAAGACTATTTACGAGAGACGCAGACGGCACAGGTATCCATGCAAGAACAGGGTGTTCATAGGAATATCTATCCAGTGGATGATTCCAAGACAGATTATGCAATGGGTTGGACGGTGGGTACGTACAGAGGTGAGTTGCTGGGTTGAAACCTGCTCATAAATTAAAATACCTAAAATGTGTCCCAATTGTTGTTCTACAAAGTTGTGGGTTATCATACTATTGTCTTGTTTTGAGATAATGTTGTTTATGTTGTTCAAGTGGAGAAAAACATTTTGTCATATCTCAAACGTGGTAGTAATCACGGCGGACTCGGATACAAACTTGTCATGTGAGGGCGCAGTGTCGCATTGGAGCAGATCTCTCATTTGTAGTTTCACTCACGTGGACTTTTTACGTAAGGTGCCCTGAATAGAACCATCTAAAGGTGAATTTTTTTAATTCCGACGATGACACGTAAAGTAAAACGACAACTATTGAAAGAAAAAAATGATATAAAATGATTATTACATTGCAGGCGTTAAAAGACTGAGTCACCCTGGTAACATTGCTTGCTATAATTCTGATATGTGGATCTTCCCAACTGAGAATTACGGTATATTCATCGCGATGAATGGACCAATGAATGACGTAGAAGCTACTCGTGCCATCTCCAGCATCGGGTGGTTCATTTCGGACAAAATGACGGGCACAGAGCCCTGGCAGGACAGCGAATCGGCATGCAACTTCTGGAGCACCTTAGCAACACCGCAACCCGATTTACCAGTAGCAGTGCCCTCACCGATCGCTTGGAGCGAAATTGAACTGAATGAATACACTGGAACGTACGGTAACAATATGTACGGTTATTTAGAAATTGACAAGGCGGAAGACGAAGACGGAATTGAGCACCTCCGCTACTCGTACGGTACGTTTGGCACTGGTAGGCTGTACCGCACGGCGACGCTACACACATTCAAGGCGACGTTGAACGGGGATTTGTGGTACTACAGTGACAGTATGCATTTCAATAAACAAGAACCGGAAGGTGTTTACATGAAATTCACAAACTCCAACCAAAACAAAATGGGCACTCTAACTTTCCCACTGTTGGTGTCAAAGGGTAACACGATTCAAGGGCCGGAATTCAAGCGCGGCCTGACAGTGGCTAACCCTCGGACCTCACCTTATGACAACCTTCAGTGTTCAAAAACTACTTCAGGGACAGAGTCGATCTACAAGCCCGCCGAACAACTCATTTTTGCCATAATGTTATTTGTCTTGTCTTATGTTAGTGTGTAGTATGTGCATACATTGACATCCATTATGTGACGTGTATTTAAAGTGGGAGGGTCGTCACCTGCGCACGCGCGGGAATTGAGTCCCAAGCGACGATAACAACCCACGCTAAAAACACAAAGGCTCATGGGTAGACGTGTCTTTGTAAACAATGACACGCTATGGGCATCTGACGCATGCGCAGGTGACGACCGACTCCCCCGCTTTAAATAGTGTTAAAATACATTGTAACATTCAACTACTTTAATCAGAGACGAACCTCATCCATTCTGGCGTGTATTATCTAAGGTAAACAAGTAAGTAAGTTGTCGTAAAATATGCATGTAATAATAATGTTCGTGTAAAGTCGTTTTTCAAGGGGTATAGTCCTCAACTTTATCAAGTTAAAATTGTACTCGAGTGTCACAAGTTATTTTTATTCGATGTTATATTGATCGTCGGAAAATTGTTGCTACATTGATCTGCATGTTCACAAACAGCGCCACCCAGAGTCGAAACTGATTGTTCTCACTAAAATGTATTTGTTTTATACTTTTTATATCTGTTGTTAAAAGTAAAATCTATAACACCATACAATAATGATATTTTACGACAGAATGACAATACTAAAGGTTTGCGATCTGGGGAAATCAGAAACAGTTTTACTTTTTCACCAAATCGTGGTTTTCAATGTAATTTTGCAGCTAAAACTTTGACACAGTTAACCGTGACGCACAATACACTCCGCCGATATGATATGTTATTGAGGCGCTTTGTATTTTGTACTTCATCATGTGGGGGCGCTGTGTGTGCATCACTATGTAGTTTGTGTAAATACTTTAGTATAGACCACAGTGTTTTCGGTGTAAAACGGGTCTAAGAAGGAAATCAAAATGATTTTATAATTTGTTGTGTTCTCATTGAATGTAAGTGAGATGAATTATATGTTGAGCATTTTATTTTAAATGACTAAATTAAAATTTTCCAAGGATTTTACTGCTAGTTAGATTCGGTACATTAAACCCGGTGATTATAGCGGAGTGGTTTTCTATTTTTATCCTTAACGTTCTTAATATTATATTAATAAATGTATGTTGCATGCGGCTATGTTCGTTTTTCATGAGACAGTATCGTTGGCTTATCGGTAAGCCAGCGAGTCGACCGGCGAGTCGACTCCAATGGAAAAAAAACTTACTCCGAACGTCACTGATTATGTCGTCGTCGAGGGGCTATTCATATTTTTATCGAAGTGAAATGTGTTTTAATTTTTTTAAATTGAATTGGATCTAATTTAATGATTATAATAATCATTATGTAATGGCATAATTGTCTGTTTGTGAGCAAATCATTACATACTGGTTTTCATCATTATTGTAACCAATCTCACTGCCAATGCAACCCACTCTCTCCAAACCAATGGTATTCATGTTGTTAGCAACACGCACAACTATGAACATTCCAATTCGTTCACAAGTCCTCGTATAAGAGATATGAATTAAACGAGTCGTGATAGACCATTTGCAGCTTTCTGTGTCACGTGGTATATTTTGTCCAAATAAAACATAAAATATCTGCCAAAGTGAATGTCGGGAAACGTTCTACTTATACATTTCCGTGAACTCCAGGAAATATGCAAAATGAGCCAGTTACGGTGCACGTCATCCAAGAGCTTCGAACGAGCCTGCTTCAGCAGCATTACTGACGTAATCTTACATATCACGCGTGCTTGAACCCCGCCAGTTTTATTTTCGTTTCACTCCTTCAGTGGCTGCACAGAGCATCCAACAAACAACAAATTCATTCATATAGAAGAATGCAATATGGACAAAAACATATTTTTTTAAATAATTTTGTTCGATATAAATTGTTGACATTGATAACTGAATTCGTTTGTATTTAATAAAATAAACACACACACAAACACTATTAGTTTGATTTGAAATAAAAAAAACACTAATTACGCATTTGTAGTGATTGTTATTGCATTTACCAAAACAATCAGCGTACGTGCTTATAAGAAAATGCCATTGTTTCATCGATGAATAGCTGCGTGCTACAAAAACATCGTTTTCGTATCACGATAAATCAGCATACGATAATATTTGGCATCTTTAATTGATTACCTCGATGCTGCATGCATCACGAGTATGTATATTTCCCGGGGCATCTTTACCAGGTGAAAGTCACGTTATTCAGCGTGAGGTTTGAATATGTGAATACAGCGTACGTGAAATAACCACCCAACAAACTGACTCGCCTATTTGTCGTTAGAAGAACAAGTAACGATCACTGGCATTGTTGTTATTTCAATAACACTATTTTAATTGAAATTCTGATATATCTGTATATTATATATCCCAACCATCAACTCACTGTTGATGAATACGAATACGTGAGAATAAAATAAACCAGCGTTTGAAAATATCGACAACTTCGTCATGTGTTTAATTCAGATAAAACAAATACGCATAAATCGCGATAATCACTCACTCACTCCGTGCGACACGTTTCGAAATCACCTGGTATAATAATGACAGACAAAATAATATTGATATCACCGTCATTATAATGTTATTTTGGTATAATGCATATTTTTCAAATTATTCGGATTATAAACGTACGATCTTGCACCGGAGACGGGACCGAAATCCGGATAATTCGTAAAAATCGCATAAATCGACGCTAAAGTTTTGTATATTCCCAGCCCCGAAAAGCCCAATTAGTAAATTCGATATTCCAGACAAGCGGTTCTCTGTTGTTTTACAACGTTGTGTATCTGCCGTCATCCGAATTGTCTATACCAGAACAAGGACGGCATGCGCAATCCATAGGAAGAGCAAGTCTGACCATTTTCCTTCCCTGTTCCATGCCTGGGCAACGTAGAGTTACCACACCAGCCTTAGCCTGTAGGGGCGCGCAGCAAGTACAGTCGTCTCTACGCACAAGTTCACCAGTTGGGTTGTCCCAAAACGGTACCATTCGTGATCGGCAAGATCCTCTACAGCTTGGAACCATTATAGCTTTGCTATCGCATCCGGCGGAACCAATCACGAATCGCATGGGAACGGTAGTACAAGTCTCTGTTCGGTGTCCAGCTACATAATGGTGAACCACTACAACGCACCAAAGTACTGTAGACAACGTTGTTAATCTCTGTCAGAGGGGAAAAAATGAGGCAAGTATAAGTACGTGACTGTAACTACAATAATTTCACTAGATGACGCGAGTGGCTATTAGGGCTCAGTTTAATTGTGCGTTTCAACTTCTTATTTTCATGAAAAATTAAAATAGAAGCACAAATATAATGATAATTGAAAAATAAAGAACTGCAAATTCTGTCTAGTGCAAAAAGTTACTTAACAGTTTGTTTCCTCTGTGAATGAATGTCCCCTAAAAACCAACGTGGTCGAACGCGCGAGATATCAATGTACTGAATATACAAGAAAACAGTTATTTTACATTTACATAAAAAAACACGCTTCATAGTAAGTTTATCACAAACAATGCCGTAAATATTACACAATTCGACAATGGCGACTAGCCCTGCAAACAAACTAACATCTACTTTATCCACACTCACCCTTACACTCATGCTCCTAAGTACACCAACTTCCGAAATGAGATTGCAACTAGACCCGATGAGTGACCCGTACACACCAATGCAACAGTCATATGCACATAGCACAGAAAACAGATATTACGCTATATAACGCTAAACGTGACAAGTGTTTCATTGGCTTCAACTAATTCGAAGCCCTAATGTAGTTTTTATATTATAAATCATATCCCCCAAGGTTTAATCATCGTAATGGCGGCACATAATTACCCCTTCTAGTCGACAGTAGATATACAGAGGCGGCGGCACGACATTTTACATGGAGGGGCGAGATCTGCTAACCAACCTCGCGGGGGTCCGGGGACACGCTCCCCCTGAAAAATTGAATATATACCCCCTGAAACGCTATTTCCTGCATTTTGAGGGGCACATTTTGTTGAAACAAGGGGGTTCAGCACGATTTTGGATGGGCGACGCCCCCAACATTTTTTTTCGAGGGGGCGACCGCCCCTGTGACATAATAATGTTTTCCTACTTGATTTATATATACATTGAGTAAAAAAAAATTCTTACGTGCATATGTAATCTTTAAATGAAGTTGGAAATGTTAATGTGTTTATATAAATACATTTGTGGAGCGATTCAAACAGTATCTTTCTTTGGTATGGCGGGCTGACTTGTGTACTTTAGACAAGTTAGATACTTACTGCCAATTTAAAACTACCATAGAACCAGAAAGATATTTGTTTTCTGTTCATATTTGAACCCATATGCAATCACTATATCGGCTACGATGTTCATCACATTGTTTACGAATTAAAGACAGGTCATCTAGAAAGAGATCAACGTACGTGCGAGCTTTGCAATATGAATTCTATTGAAAACAAGTTCTATTTTTTATTAGTTTGTAATTTTTATAACCACATTAGATGTCTCTATATCCCACACTACTACTGTACCCCACTAACTGTAAATAAATTTATCGAATTACTGAAAACTCAAAATGATGTACTTCTACAGCGTTTAGCTAGGAGGGAAGCAGCTGAAATATTGTAAATAATAAAAATATTTCGTATTTACTCTTTTGGGCCGATGGCCACGTATCAGTTAATAAAGATCCCACTGAATGAGAAAAAAAAATTGTCACGCATTTGTCTCATATCGTAGCTCAAATATTTTAAGAATAATGACCTCGACGGAAACAGGATGATAAATTCTGATTTATTTTGAACAAATATTCCCTCAGGCCAATATTTGCGAATCTGTTTTGAATCTTGATAGCACCATCTCCTAGATACATAATTTCTTCAACCAAGCTTGGTAGCCACACCAACTGCATGGGACATGGAAAATGTTTCTCCCATCAAAACATGACCACAATACCTAAACATATGCATTAATCCCCGAACTACATTTCCGTCACCAGACATATCACTAACTACCTGACTACATATATCTCCGTACTATGTTTCCAGTCATATTTCCAATTATCTGACCAGCTGTATGGGTTACTGTACTAATTGTCTGTCCCCTGACATGTTCCAAACATTATGACCAACTATACAGTTCCCTTGACTATGTTTTTGTCTCCAGAATTATTATCTATAATTATTAACTATATCGCTGAACCACGTTTCTAGCTCAAGACATATTCCTAACTATAAGGGTCGCAGGAGAATGTTTCTATCTTCAGACATATTCCTAACTGACTATAAGGGCGACTAGACCACGTTTCTGTCCCCAGAGATATCTCTAACCTGCTCACCAACTATATATATTGGTGAGCCACGTTTCTTCCCAGACTATAAGGGTCGCCGAAACAAATTTCTGTCTAACCTCTAATCTCCTCACCAATTATATAGATTGATGAGCCACGTTTCTTCCCCAGACATATTCCTAACCAATAATATGGATCATTGAACAACATTCCCCCCCTCCCAGACATATCCTTAACCTCCAGACAAACTCATTGGACCATGTTTCTGACCACATACATATCTATAACCACCTGACCGACAATACAGTTTCCCTGACTACTTTTCTTACTTAAGACGCATCCCTAACATCCTGACTTCAACTACGTGGATCACTGGACAGTGTTTTCAGACACATTGATATCCCTCACCACTGACAGACTATATGGACCCTTTGACCAGGTATCTGTCCCTAGGCATATTCCTAAAGTTCGGAGACTATATAGATCTTTGAATCTTGTTTCTGCTCCCAGATATATCCTCACCACCTTACCAACCAGATTGATTCCACAGGACTGCTTTTATAAGAAGATTCAGGCTGATTGTTGATGCAACAACATTGGTTAGCACAAATATCATTTCAGGAGATATCTTAACAGGTCTTAGTAGGGTATCCCTTGATTGGTATATTCTTCAAATGATGTTTCATCGGCAT